ATCCTGCACCTGAAGGTGGTGGTACTTTGAACCATGGGGCTCGACAGGCTGGTGGTGCTGATGGTGCTGGAGGAAGTGGTAGAGAAGAAAGAATGATCGCACAAAAATTGCCAGATTCTGCTGAAGAAGATCTCTCTAAAAAAAAACTGTTAGATACTCAGGATAAATCGGAACTTAACGAAGATCAAGGTCCCGTTGGTCCTCAGAGCACTTCATAAACTCAACTGCCAGGAAATAGTACTCAGTCTTGTCTTCAACCTGGTACTTCATCACAACCAGTAACAGGAGAGAGAAAGGATGGAGCCCCTTCTCCATCAGCAAATCAGAACGATCAAACTCAAGCTGGAGGTAAAGCGGTTTCACAGGAAAATGAACAAGTAGTTGCGAGACCGGAATCAGGAAATAATGGTGGATCCAATTCTGGCAGTGAACAGAATACTGTTGGCTCTCTCACTGCAGAAGAACCCAATGCCAATAGTGAAGAAAATAAGTCTGAAAATGCACCAACTTCCCCCAACGAGAATAGTACGCAAGGTACTAACGATGCAGGCAACAGTAGTGCTGTACAGATTCAAGGAAGTACAGACAAAGAATCTGAACCTGAGAATGGCACTACACCCAATACTAATGAGGAATCAATCACCACCATCACCACCACCACAACAACAACACTTCCTCCTGAGCCTGCAAACAACAAGAAGGGTGATTTAGACAGCAGCAGTATCAGCAGTTCTGTGTGGGTGCGTGTGCCACTACTGATTGTGGTTACACTGGCCTGTATTCTTGTGTGCTGATTGTGTGGTGGGACTCACTTGAGGCAAATAATAATAATGGTTAAACTAACATAATCATAATTGCTTATATCCGCTATGGGTGAATGAACTAATAATCTGTTTACCAGCTTTCTCTTTTAATTGGAATATCTTTTCTTTTGTTTTTGTGTGTGTGTGTTATTGGAGACTCTCTTTGTGCGTGTGCCTGGGCTTGCACTGTGATGATGATGATGAACTGTTTTTTTTCTAGTGGGAGAAAAAGAAATAATAATAACAGATACATTTTTATAATTGCTTGTATAGACATATAGACTTACACCCATAGTTGGTGTATATTTCTGTGTTTACTGTGTAAATTGGGCTAATGGTTAATACTTTTGTTTTTTGCTTGCGTGGTGTATTGGAGGCGTTGTGTTTTTTGCCCTGCACGGTTTTGGTATTCTGTTTTGTTCAGAATAGGAAAATAATAATAACTGTTACACAGAAGTAGATGTTTTGCTATGTTGACCAACGAATGAAGAGCTATATTGTGGTGTATTTTCTTCTCTTGTTTGGTCGTACGTATAAATTATTAAATCATTGTTTCTCTTCCGTTTTTATTGAGAGTGTCTGTTTAGCATTGGGTATTGTGTGTTTTGTTTCTTTAATTGGACACTTTCTGAGTGATTGTTATGGCTTTATGTTTGTTTTCTATGTGTGCTTCTATATATTTCTTGATGTTGAGCAATGATTTCCTTTTGTTGGTGTTTGTTTTCTCTTATTTTTATTTGCTCAGAGTAGTGCCACCAGATAATAATAACAACAACTGTTCTGCTGACAATGCGCCACGTGCTCTGTGTGTTGGTTCTCTCATTCTGTTGTGTCTGCGGATGTGTACTCTCTGCTGAAGGAGGTGATGCTACTGGAGTTGGTGATGCTGCTTTACAGATCCGGGATGATGTTCCTCATTCAGAAGATGCGCAAGAAGAAACTCTGGAAACATGTGGTGCCGAAGGTAAAACGACGGGAAAAGCCTGCAAACCAAACACCACGCAGGACTCGCCTCAAGAACGTTCATTAAGTGGAAACCAAGCAGATGTTATCAGTAGAACTCCTCAAGGTCCAAATTCAGAGATACCTAGTCACGGTACTAGATCTACGCCTACAGGTTCATCTAATGGTTCGCCTGGTGATCAGGGTGGTTCTCTTGTAGAAAAAAGAGAGAATTCATCTCCACTGAAGGGAGAAAAGAAAGAAGGAGATGATGAAGGTTCGCGAGGTGTGGAAGAACAAGTAAGCCGTGGACAAGGAGCTGTAGAAGGGAGCAGAGGGCACACTGACAGTGAACCAACAACAGTAAGCCCTGGTACCTCAGAAAACCCCAATGGTACGGATAATGTGCAAACACCTGGAAACGAACAGAGTATTCAGACGGGTAATGTTACAGAAGGCACAAGTGATGCACAGGGCAATACAAACGCACAAGAAGCTACCGTTACACAACCTTCTTCTCCTTCTGACACTTCCAGCAGTTCAGTTACAGATAATACCGGCGGAACATCTTCTGGGAGTGATGACACTGGTTCACAGAATGAGTCTACAAACAACACAGGTGTTACAGGAAATACAACCACTACTACTACTACTACTACTACTACCACTACTACTACTACTACACTTCCTCCTGAACTCACAAACAACAAGAAGGGTGATGCAGACAGCAGCAGCAGTATCAGCATTTCTGTATGGGTGCGTGTACCACTACTGATTGTGGTTACACTGGCCTGTATTCTTGTGGGCTGATTGTGTAGTGGTGTGACTCAGGGGTCATCCTTTGTTTTCTTTTCTTTTCTTGCATACATCCACACTACAGTCTAACTAATCTTTCACCTGTTGGGATTTTATCTTTTTTGTTTTTCTTAATGTTAATGTGTTTTGTGTGTGTTTTTGTTCTCTCTCTATGTTTATCCTATAATTATTATTATTGCTACTCCATTGTGTGTGTGCCTGGGCTTTGCACTGTAATGATGATGATAAACTGTTTTTTGTAGTGAGAGGAAAAAATAATAATAACAGATGAATCTTTATATTTATAATTACGTATATACACATATAGGCTTACACCCATAGTTGGTGTATTTCTTGTGTTTACTGGATACGTTGGGCTAATGATTAATACATGATTCTTTCTTTGCTTGTGGTTTGCTGGGTCATTGTGTGCTTTCCCCTGCACGGTTTTTGTGGTAGACTGCTTTATGCTGAGGTAAGAAAAAAATAGTAGTTAATACAATTTTATTCTTATGTGCTTGAACACACCAGCATACTCAGTGGTCTGTGAGTTATTTTTGTGCGGTTGGTCCTGTTCTTAATTTTTGTTTTTGTTCACGTTTTCTTTGTTTGGGCGCTGTGTGCTTTTTCCTGCATTGTTGTGTGTTGAAGTGTTTTGAGTGGAGAAAAAATAATGATAAAGAATACATAAGTATATTTGTAATTGTGCTTTATTCGACCAGAAAGAGGCATTTTGATGTATTTCTGTGCTTTACTCTTTTGATGGTTGCACTCTTTAATTTCTTTTTTTCTTTTGAGGGTTTATTGGGATTATCTGTTTGTTATTGGGTACTGTGTGGGTTTTTACTTTAATTTGGGTATTATATGAGTTATGGTTGTACCTTTCTGTTATCTGGGTGCTTCTGCTGTAATTATTGATTGATGTTTGATTTGGTGTGTGTTCTTATTTTCTTGTGTACATTGATTTACTTTGTTTCTGGTTTTTCTATTAGGTTTTGTTTTTTTTCTGTAAGCAATTGAAGTAAGACTACTACAAAAAGTTTTGTAATGGTAATGATGCGCTACGTGCTGTGTATCCTCGCTCTCCTTCTCTCATGTGCGTGTGTGCACGTCCTCGCTGAAGAAGTGCCTGCAGCCGATCTTTCCGACCAAGTCCCTGATACGGAGAGTGAGACAAAGATTCTTCTTCAAGGTACTCCTGTTTGCAGTGGTGGTGTTACTACCGGTACTTGTACTCAACAAGGCAAGTCATTGACGGGGATGGACAAAGCTTACGGTAAGAATGGTCATGCGGAATGGGAGGAATTTCCTGGAGCAGCAAAAGGAAGTGGTACATCGCAAGGTTTTCCTTTGAAAGTCGATGGGAGGTCCCCGGCTTTATCGACAGAACCAGAAACAGCAAGTCACCCCGGTGGAGAAACTGATAATGAGGCTCTATCGCGAGGTAAAACTCAAGACAGTGGTCTCAATCTCGGTGCCCCAGAAAATGATGTTGTTACAGGACCACAAGGGGTTGCTTCTGGTAATCACAACAGAGATGGGGGTAATGCTGAAAATGCAAAAGGAGAAAGTATGTCGACAACAGAGAGACAAGGAGAAGAGTCTACTGCAGCATCACAAGGTAACGATGAATCGTCGAATAACCCAACTGATAACAGTACACCTGTCAACCCCAATGCTGCCCAGCAATCACCAACAGAAGCTGGTGTCACTACGAATACAACTTTACAAGAAACCAATTCCACTACTCTGCCAAGCCCCGAGAACACTGTCAGCGAAGCAACAACCACAACATCAATTCCTTCAGTACCTAACGCGGAGATTAACACCAACGTCGGTTCCACTGTACAGAAGAAGGCGAATGTTGACAGCAGTGTCAGTCCTGTGTGGATGCGCACTGCAGCACCGCTGTTGATTGTGGCTGTGATGTTCTCCGCTACCCTGTACTGAACAGTGGAACTCACTTGAGGTCAAATAATAATAATGGTTATACTAATATAATGATAATTGCGTACATCCCCCATGGGTGAATAACCTAATAATCTGTTTACCAACATTATCTTTTAATTCGAATTTCTTTTTTTTTTCTTTTGTGTGTGTGTGTGTGTGTGTGTTCTTTTTTCTAATAATTCCATTACTTGCTTTTCCCGTTGTGTGTTTGTAGAAAACTGGGCTGTTCTGCTCACTGACGGTATACATTTATTCTAAATATAGACATGCGTATGTGTGTGCAGTTATTTAATATACATAAACTAGAGCCGTGGGGTATTGTGTGTGTGTTTGGCGCTCTCTTATTTGGGTATTGTGTGGTCTTTTCTTTTTTTTTCGATTAATGGATACATATTATTTTCATACAAGCAGGCTATTCCTTTTTGCTGCTTGCTGTGTAGTTGATGCTTCTCTCTCTTTTCCACTGTGAATATTTGTTGTACTCTTGTATGTTTGTTTGTTTCCATCTTATTTTTTTTCTCCTTATTTTTTCTTGTATTAGTCTATTGAAGTAAACAACAACAACACAAGCAAAAATGACAAAGGCTGTAATGGTGAGGTGTTACCTGCTCTGTTTATTAACTCTTGCACTCTGTTGTGCCTGTGGGTTAGTATGGGCTGATAGTCCTAAAGCTTCTGATGCCCTTATTAAACCTTCCACTGTTGGTGTTCCTTCTCTTGTTCGTCATGCTATTCCTGCGGATGTCGAATTGATAGTGGAAGGGGATGAGGAAGAGAAGGAGGAAGAGGAAGACTCTCCTCACAAAACTGAGGAAAGGGAGAAAGAGAAGTTGGGAAAAGAGAGAACACCTGATTCTCCGAATTCTAAAGGTGCTGGTGATTTGGGTTCTCCTGGTGCCCTTCAACCCAATGGTACTGACAGCTCACTTGGTGCGCATGGACATAAGCAGTTACAGGAAAAGAATAAAGTTGAATTGCAAGAAGGACAAACAGATCATCGTGCTGATACACAAGGTGTGGCTGTAGAAGAGATCTCGGATCCATTAAGAGCAAAAGAAAGCAGAGACACTTTAGTTTCTTCAGATCTGAACAGAAATGAAGTTTCTTCTGAACTTACGGAACCACCAGCTGCGAGTCCCCATCCTCCTGTTGCTGCTCCTGCTCTTGATACTCCACTACCTGTTCATGATGGTGATAGATCACGGGTGCCCAGTGGAGATGGCCCAACACCAGCTAAAGATGAATCCAATAATGGGGATGGTGGATCTTCACAACCAGCGAAATCACCATCGCAACAGCAGGAAGTGAGAAATAGTCATGATGCACAAAATGGAGAGACCACAACAGCAACAGGACCAGCCGCTACTGACAGTCAGGAGACTTCTGTTACTCCATCCCAGAATACAGGTGACGCCTCCTCTAGCAGTTCATCCACGGATAAAACCGGTACTCGTCAGGATGAGAGTGAAACTGCTGTTACAAAACCTGCAGAGGATGACTCAAACAGTGAGAACTCCACTACCACCACCACCACAACAACAACAACACTTCCTCCTGAACTCACAAACAACAAGAAGGGTGATGCAGACAACAGCATCAGTATCAGCAGTTCTGTATGGGTGCGTGTGCCACTACTGATTGTGGTTACACTGGCCTGTATTCTTGTGTGCTGATTGTAGTGGTGTGGTGGTGGTGTGACTCAGGTCATCCTTTGTTTTTTTTCTTTTTTTGCATACATCTCTACGGTCCAACTAATCTTCCACCTGTTGGGATTTTCTTTTCTTTTTTTGTTTCTTAATGTTAATGTGTTTTGTGTGTGTTTTTGCTCTCTCTATGTTTGTCCTATAATAATTATTATTGCTACTCCATTGTGTGTGTGTGTTCTTGGAGACTCTCTCTGTGTGTGTGCACCTGGGCTTGCACTATGATGATGATGAACTGCTTTTTTGCAGTGAGGGAAAATGAAATAATAATAACAGATACATTTTTATAATTGCTTGTATAGACATATAGACTTACACCCATAGTTGGTGTGTATTTCTGTGTTTACTGTGTAAATTGGGCTAATGGTCAATATCTGTTTGTTTGTTTCTGTGGTTGGCTGGGTCATTATGTTTTTTTTTCCAGCACCGTTATGGTATTCTGCTTTCTACAGAGGGAGAATAAATAACAGTTGCGTATTTACGTTTAGAATTGTGTATGAACTCAAGCACACCTTTAGTTCTCTGGTTCGTATGTTTGATGTTTCGCTTGGTCCTGTTCACATTTGTTTTCTTCAATTTGCTTGGGTGTGTGTGCGTTTGTCCCTTTATTGGACTAGTACTTGCTTACACTGATGCCTTTTTTTTGTGGTTTGTATTTTTCTTGTAATTTCTTCCATAAGTTCTCTCTCTTTTGTATTTTCTTCCTTTTATTTTCTCATTTTAGATACCTAAAACAGCAAAAAATATTTTTTGCCATGAAGCTAGTCTGTCGTATTCCGTGTTTGCTGTTCTTGTTTCTGATCATTTTTTGTTTGTCTGTGACGGCTGAGGCGAGTGCTCCAATTGCCCCACCTGATCCTCTGAAAAGGACTGATGAACAGCCTCCAGAGACGGAGACTTCCCTTGAACGTAACAAAACGTGTAAAGATGGTCAGCCTGATTGTGAGTCTCCACAGGTAGATTCAATTGGAGAATCTTCGCAAGTAAAACATGATACAGGAGAGGAACTACCTTCTCGACGAGACGATGTTGCTGGTGGTGGTGATGGTCTCTTGAAAGGGGGTAAAAAGGATGCGCCATCACCGCAGAACCGTGACGATAATACGTTAGCACGAACCAATGACCTCGAGGGTGCTGTTGCTGCTTCTCGATCCCATTCTGCTGAAGAAGAAGTTGACTCAAGTCTTTCTGAATCTCACAAAGCTCCTTCGTCGGGTGCTAAGGGTTCTCCTGAGGGAAACAAAGGCGTTTCTCAACAACAAAATTCCCACGAACAAAGTGATTCTCATGTTAACGGAGAAGAAGGGGAAAGACAGAAACAACTGGGAAATGCCACGCAGGAGGCATTAAAACCATCACAAGAAGCTAAACCAGGTGAAGCTTCTTCTGTACAAGAATCTGGATCACACGAAAATAGAAAGCCATTAAGCGACCTCACATCTCAATCACAAAAAGAATCCACTGATTCACAAAACACAGAGAACACAACAACAACAACACTTCCTCCTGAACTCACAAACAACAAGAAGGGTGATGCAGACAGCAGCAGCAGTATCAGCAGTTCTGTGTGGGTGCGTGTACCACTACTGATTGTGGTTACACTG